TTTTTTTTTTACTCGAACCTCTTCCTCTTCCTGTTTACGAAATCGTTCAAATATTTCCAGAGAATCCATTTTCTTTTTATTTATATTTTTTCTTTTCTTTTCTTTGCTTGTTTTTTTTTTTTTTTATTTGCGTTAACAAATCGCTTGAAATGTTTTATTTCTTTCTTTTCTATATTTGATTATCGTAGTAATAAGATCTCCGTGTCGAAATTCGTAATATCGATCGAATGTTATAACTTCAAAAGAAGATATGACGTATAAGTAGTAACTACTACGTTAGTTTTTAAAATGACAGAATAAAATTGACTAAGAAAAAAATAAAAATGAATATTAAATAGGTTAGAATAAATATATAAATACAATAAATACAATAAACGTATCTACTACGTGAGTTTTTAAAATAACTGGATGAAATTGACTAAGAAAAAAATTAAAAATGAATATTAAATAGGTTAGAATAAATATATAAATATAATAAATACAATAAACGTAACTACTACGTTAGTTTTTAAAATGACAGGATGAAGTTGACTAAGAAAAAAAGAATAATCATTCGAAACACTTGATTGATAATAATTTAATGGAGACAGAGATGTATTTGTTCATTTAATGTTCTTTTTTTTTTTTTAAATTGTCTCCATTTTTATTTTATTCAAGTCAGAAATAAAGCATATATATATATATATATATATATATATATATAAAAGTCTTTATAGAAGTTAGCTCATGGAGATCCATGAACCGTGATTACATCATTCCAACTAGTCGTTGGAAATCAATTTGCCCCCTGGTTCTCTCTCTCTCTCTCTCTTTCTCTCTTTTTCTCTCTCTTTTTAACTTCAGTTAAGTTTTTGCTTTCACCGTAACGGGTGCGGACATAAAGTTAAAGGCAATCATCAGAATAAATCGAGTATACTTTGAAAATGTTGATTTTTTTCTTTTCTTTTTTTTGTTAAAGTTCTACCAAAGATTCAAAAAAACAAATCTATAAACGCTAATCTAATTCTAATATATTTTCTATTACGATTTCTAATCGATATTATAACTCCGATAGATTTTTAAAAGATACCAAAAATAAAGGATCGAAAAGATTGTTGATTTGATTTACGTTGTAAGATATTACAGGATGAACTCACTAATGGATTAAACTTAATCGATCGTGATATAAAAAAAAGACTGAAAAAATACACACACACAACAACAAATATTTCCTAATGAATGAGAGGGGAGGGGAGGGGAGGATAGGGGGAGGGGGTTGTAAATTATCGAGCGGCCATTAAGGAATACCAGACTTTGTCTGTAACATATATTATCAAAGTCTCGTATAGAAAGCTGGCCAGTCAACCGAATGTTTTTCATTTGTCTACATATAATAAAATGATTGTAAGGTTTATTATTGGGTTGTCCGGAAATCGCGTGCCAATTTTTTTTTTTTTTTGTATATATTTATTAAATTATACATAAGTACTGTTCTAAATGTTCCACAACCTTTTTCCATTTTTATGGGGTAATTTTAAAATTTTGTCTTTACAAAATTTCTCAGGTTTTTCAGTAAACGCCATCTAATAAAAATCGGTACGAATTTTTTGAACAACCCAGTATATAGGAATAATCATGCTTATGATTTATTTAATTGATTAGGGAGATTAATATAATAAAATAATTAATTAATATTAAAAATATCTTTTGTTAATAGTACTTGAGACAGTCATTGACAAAAATTTATAAAACAAAAAAAAAAGAGAAAATCAAACATGGCGGACAACGATAATATTTATTCGGAACCTTGAAGAAAGACAGAAAGAGAGAGAGAGAGAGAGAGAGCAGCCGCCATCTTGGACCGGAAGTCCAAGTGTCTTCACGAATCGAACAGTTTCTTTCTCTTCGGCTGAAGAAAGAAAAGAAAAAAAAAAACAAAAGAAAAGAAAAGAAACAATGGCGAATGAAAGAATATAAAATAAAATAAAATAAAGATAAAAATAAAATAATAAAAAAAAAAAAAACATAACCATAAAAGAATAGAAAAAAGGGTGAAGTTACTTTGTGGGTAGGGGATCTATACGCGCGCGCGCGCACTTCATACACAGTGACAAATAGTCGTTTGAGGATACGAAAAAGAGAAAAAGAGAGAGAGAGAGAGAGAGAGAGAGAGAGGAAGGAGAGAAACGGTAGGATTTCGTTGAGAGAGTCCCTAAGATATTTCCTACGGTGAGCATATGGCGAGGGTAGAGTTCCCAGAAGGTTCCCACGGTCAATAGTTTTCCCGGCGGCAGTAAGCGTGTTGAAAGTGCTCGAGGGTCTCCCCCTTGCTCTTCCCTCAGCCCCTCCCCCTCTCGACCGCCCGCCCGCCTGCCATCCTATCCCCTTCTCCCATCTCTTTTTCTCCTCCTCCCCGCCTCATCTTTACCGCCACCGGTGCTCGCTCGTTACGGACAATTTTTTTTTCTTTTTTTTTTTTTTTACCAAAAAGAATGAAATATTGACGGAAAAACCGGAAACAGCAACCCCCTTCCATTCACCCTTCTTCCATTACTAAACTATTCCTTTTCCACCGGATATAGATTTATCTTTATTTATTTTTAAATTGTTCTTTTTTTGCTTCTGGTTCTTTTTATCTAGTTTTTTTTTTCTTTCCTTTATTTTGTATCTATTTTTTAATTGGATATTGATTTAGGTTTATTTGTGTGAATGGTATTAAATATTACAATAAGTGTGTATAGATTTTTGTATTGATTATTATTATTATTATTATGAGTTAAAGATAGAATATCAAAAAATAACTTAGAAAGAGAGAAACACAATTATTGATAATTTGTTATTGTTTTAGTTAATTAATTATTAAATAAAAATTAGTTAATTATTAGTTGAATAATTTTTAAAGAAGAGGAAAAGGAAGATAGTATCATTAAATGTTGTTATATTGTTATAGTTGTGCTAGTAAGTTTATAACATTTCCCTAACATTACTAGATTATTGAAAAAGAGGGAAACAAGAAGATAGTATTACTAAAAATTGTTGTATTAATTATGTTAATTTATAATATTACCTAATGTTACTATATTTTAGAAAAAAAGAAAAAGAAGATAATATTGCATATTATTGTATATTGTTAGTAGTGCTAGTAAGTTTATAACATTTCCCTAACATTACTAGATTATTGAAAAAGGGGGAAACAAGAAGATAGTATTACTAAAAATTGTTGTATTAATTATGTTAATTTATAATATTACCAAATGTTATTATATTTTTGAAGAAAAGAAAAAGAACATAATATTACTAAATATTATTGCATATTATTAGTTGTACTAGTAAGTTTATAAACATTTCCCTAACATTACTAGATTTTTGAAGAAAAACAAAAGAAGATAAAATATTGAATATTATTGTATATTGTTAGTTATGCCAGTAAGTTTATAACATTGCTATATTTTTGAAGAAAAAGAAGAAGCAGAAGTAGAAGAAAAAAAGATGATTGTATTATTAAATATCTGGTTGGAAACGGTAAAGTAGATCGCTCGATAAGCTTTGCCTCGCATAAAATGAATCTATTTACGCGCGAGACGACGAGCCCTCACTCTCTCACTCTCTTCTCTCCTCTCTTTCTCCTCCACCTCCTCCTCCTCACTTTTCTTCTTTTTCTTCTTCTTCTCTTCCTCTTCTTCTTCTTCTTCTCCAAAGCAGTCTGGACTACTACTACTACTACTACTACTACTACTACTACTACTACTACTGCTACTATAACTCCAGCCTTTTGTTTTAATCGATGGAACGAGGAGGAGGAGGAGCAAGAGAAGGAGGAGAAGAAACTTCCTTTGTAATTCGTAATAATTACGAATGGTATTTTTTTTTTATTATTATTATTATTTTTCTTCCTTTCAACTATTCCTCTTTTCACCAATACTTTGTTCTTCTTTCTTTCCAAACAGAGCAATAACCTTTTTTTTTTTTTTTTTTAACTAAATTAATATAGAAATTCATGTTTAACAAACAGAACACAATATGTGTGTACACATATTAATATTTTATATATATATATATATATATATATATATATATATATAGAGTATACACACGGTGGTGATATTAAAAAAAACAAAACTATATCTCGTAATACGTTTTCATTGTTCTAAATCATTGAAGAAGAACGCAACCCGAAGTAAAAACAAGAAAGGAAAGAAGATCATCAACAAACAAGCAAGCAAACAAACAAACAAACAAACTTCGCACGTACGTTTTCAAGAAAGACGACTGTCTTCTATTCTAACGTCTTCCCGCTCAATTTTACGCTCCTACACACTACGGTGAATCACTCATTCAGAGGTTTGTACGATCCGTACACGTACTATACATATATACGTGTGTGATATGTGTGTTTGCTGTGATGATAATATAGTATATATATATATGTGTATGTGTATGTTTGGTGGAGGAGGGTAGTGAAGGGGGTGATGGCGGAGACGACCGATACGATTGTTTATTCTCGGTTGCTCGGTCGCGCTACGTTTACGGTAAATAAAACGGTTACCATAACAATGAATGTAAGCTCGAAAAGAAAGGCGGCACGGACATCAGCAGCAGAAGCAGCAGCAGCAGAATGAAATTCGTCGAGAGTGCGCGGCAAAAAAATGCCCGCGCTTTATTCCAGAATATTTACTTTACACGGGGGAGGGAAAATAACTGATAAGAGAGGGAAACGAAATAAAACAAACAAACAAACAAAAAAAAGAGTTAAATCAAAAATATTTAACTCAGAAAAGAAAACAAATATTAAATCAATCGATTAGTAGGTTATTAAAAAATTAATATTTTTCCCGCCCATTATATATTAATCGTTAAAAAAAAAAAAAATAAAAAAAAACCAAAGACACGTTTACGAAACGGATAGAAAAAATATTATTTGTTTAGATTTCCGTCTAAGTATATATCATCATCAATGTGATCGAATATAAACAGGATACGTATTTTTTTTTTTGTTCTTTTTAATAAAAATGTAGGCGGACCTTTTTTTTTTATCCCTGCAATAATATCGTTCACTTTTCGCAACACTAATGAAAAAAAATTTTCTTTTCCACACAACAACAACAACAACAACAACAACACTTGATAAGAAAAAGACAGGACGACGACGACGAAACACGACAAATACAATAACTAAAACATCGATGAACGGCAACGGTGGAGGACGACGACGGTGGTGGCGGCGAGACGACGAGTAGTAGTGGCGGGCCGGCCACAGAAAATTATTTTCTTTTTTGTCTTCTACTTTCAACGAGAAGATTTAACGTAATCCTAACTTACCGTATAATCGACGGTCTATGAAGTATCTCGTTCACTCAGCTTAACACCACTTTCACACATATATTTTACTTGGAAATAATGAGATTTTCGGCAGCGACCATGTATAAAATGACACCGACACAAGGCCCCCTTTACGGAACTGAAGTAACGTTGACGGTAGGTTCGTGAACAAAGACCACGCACGATTTCAAATCTCGTCCCGCCTATTGGTTCGCCAAAGTCACGTGACCGAGCCGAGACCGCGCTCATTGGTCGGTGCGCTTCGTTCGCCGAGGATCTTTTAAATGCTACTCCATTTGCACATGGCTGACAAAGGAATTTATTTCAGATATCTTTTCTACACTTTTTAACGATCTTTTCGTTATTTTAACAATCTCGTACGTTTATATTTAAAATGATCTTTAATTTGTCGTTCAATTTTGTTCGTGAAATGGTTACAACGTACGATAGAAATGAGAGAAGTGGCCGTGTGTTTTTCTAACACACTTTACCCCACCGTATCCCCCTCTGTAGGAAAATGGCCGAGCCCATACACTAAGAAAAAAATTCTTCTTACTCCGTTTTGCCTTATTATTTTGTTATTTCGATAAACAATCGAGATAGTTGATATTTTTCAACACCATCACACGAAATATCATTCACAATTTTCATTGATAACGCTCGATAAAATAATCAAGACGAAGTCGAAGAAGATGGACGAGTCTATTACTTTGTTGGAAAGGGGTGGTCGGCATACGGTCGACAATGAACTCACTACGTACGACAATGGCGGGAATACACCATTCGTGCACATAGATTTATCGACTTTCAAATCAACAGAGAAAATACTCGCGACAGTGACACTATCACCGATCATTTTATCCAATTAAACTGGCACAAATAAAATAACTTTTTTTTTTTAGGGCAATTTAACACAGAAGATTTTTTTTTAGTAGCATATCCTTTGATACTGCTAAGGTCAATAGGCGGTTTCCTTTAACATACCTTTTCGTATATTTTTCGATCAACTTTCTTATAACATTCAACTAATATTACGATGGCCAGTAATATTTTCACAATTTTTCATCCGTATAAAGATATTAACATTTATATATTATTAATTATTTTACAATACATTAAAGTTTGACTACTACTTTTCTTTTTTTTTTTTTTAAATTCTCTTTCTTCTTGGATGAACAAATGCAGTAGTCATTATTAATATATATATATTTCTTGGTGTTCTTGGTTTTATATTAATATAATTAATTATTTTCATTTCATTGCTATAATAAACTTTGTTCGTTTTGTTTATATTTTCTTCTTTCTCCTCTATTCGTGCGAAAATTATTATTACTTGACTTATTTGCTTGTTTTTTTTTTTTGTTCATTGTATCTCTCATATATATATATTTTTTTTTTATTATATATGAATTAATTATTTTCTGCTTTATAAAATATATAATATATATATATAATAATAAACTTGTAATATATTTATATGGTAACTTGTTATATTGCACTTTTGTCATATATCGCGAATATAGTTTTCTCAGCGACCTTATTATATCATTTAATTGTTCGATATTGCACTTATTAAACATTTGCAACGGCTGGTATTATTTTCATATATATTTGTATACCCCGTAAAAATATATCTTTATTTAAATATTCATCGTGATCGTGAAGAAGTACTTTTGTATTATTCATTGGTGAGAAACAAATTGCTGGTATACCGACCTGTAAAAAATCAAACAATTTTAATAAATATCACTAATTTTATATTCTTTACAGAAATGTGTACTTTATATTATTAATAATATTTCTAATACTTACAGATCTTACATAACGACTGTCAGTTCCACCCGGGAAAATACCAATTTTTAATTTTATGTTCAAACTATCGCATGTCTTTTTAAATGCAATCCAATATGGATTGGTATCATCCAATTTGGTGTTCTCAACTTTTGGATTTTTTTGTTCAAACGTGTAATATACACCTTCTCCAGCTTCCTCGCACCATTTCTTGATCTTAGCTTCAAATTCGTCGTGATCTACGGATGGATCAAGTCTTATATCGAATATGGCGATCAATTCGTTTGGTATAACGTTTGTTTGTACTCCACCCTGTAAAAAAAAAAAAAAAGGAAACATATTTAATTAATATCTAATTCAATAAAATAATATAAAATGTAAGATGGCATATGAAAAAGAAACAAATGTAATAAAATAATCAATACGATTAAATACTTACACGAATCGTACAAATCCTAATGTAAGACATGTAAATATAAAAATATTAATTAGATAATTACAAATCAAATCAAATACTGAATATTACTAATAATAACTAAATAAACTAAACAAAAATGAACGAGAAACAGAATATACATTGCTGTTTACCTTCAATTGATTGAGATTAATGGTTGTAACATCACCAATTTGATATTTTTCAGTATCTTTCAATTTGTCTTTTTCCGCAGCTCTTAAATCCATAAATCGATCAATTATAACTCGTATTTTTTCACCAGCAGTATTATCTAATAATAATGATCCATGTCCTGGATTTCCAGTACAATGTACTTCTACATGCCAAATAGATCTTTCACCGTTGTACATGAGGAACGTTTCAGTAGGAGAAGCAACTCCTTCATCGAGTGCAAATCCAATATTTAAAGCCTTGAAATCATTCGTATGAACGAACTCCTTCATACCAAGTTTACCACCAATTTCTTCATCGGGTACGAAAGATATATGAATGGTTCTCTTGAAACGTTGATTGGACATTTTCATACGTCTCACAGCTTCCAAATATTGTATTCCAACACATTTCATGTCTTGACTACCACGTGCATAGATATTTCCTTGTTCATCCATATGTGCACTGAATGGTGGATATGTCCATTTATCCTAACAACAAAATGCATTTATTTCATTAATAAAAACAATCCTTCAATAATTTACAAATCTAAAGAGATAATTAACAAGCTTTGTAATTTCATAATATCTTTTTACAAAAATTACATTACTTACCTCAAAGACTGGCACTACGTCCATATGACTGTTCAAGAGAATTGCAGGTTCATTTGGCTGTGTACCCAACCATGTGAGTACCACGATGGGTTTTCCTGGATGTACATGGTATACTTTAATTGGCAAGTCCAATGACTTTGCTTGCTTGTGTAAGAACTCGACGCAGGCATCTGTAATTAAATATAATTGTATATGTTAAATCGTACTAATTTGATTGGAAATGAAATAACCTCTAAAATGTTATCTTTTTCTGAAGAACAACAGATAAAAAAAATGTACAAGTGACATGATTGTTAACAAAATAAATGAACTTATGCAAGATATAATTATTATCTTATCGGTGTTTATTCAAAGATTATTTTTGAACAATTTTATCATTAAGATTACCTTTTAATTATACATTCGTATCTTTAACACGAGTAAAAAGAAAGACAAGAAAAATAGGAATATGAAGAACACAAAATGTCATTTGGTTATCTGTAAAATGTAAATGAACAAATCTTAATTGTAAATATGAAAAAAAAATGTGAGATAAGAATCGTTGAAAATAAATGAAAATTTCTACGACGAATGGAAAGAGATTTACCTTCCTCGGTGTTCGTTGAAAAAGTAAGCTGATTTTTTTTGGATAAGCAACGAACGATACGTTTGTAAAACTATGGTATACTTAGCTGGGGGGAGTTGGTTATCCTTTAAGCTTGAAAAAAAAATATATAAAAATAGAAATAATAAAATTGTGTGTGTGTGTTGGGTGGGGCATATACAATGGCTCGATAGCGTCTGAGACGCTACGCCGTTTCGCCGGATTCAAAAATACCGGTTAGAAATGGTGTCGGTAAAATTGGATGTTAGGAGAATGTAAATGTAATCAATAGGCTTGTCATATGTAACAAAAAGTCTGTATAATACGTGTCACGATATAATTAATATAATAATAATAGAAAAAAAAATACAATTTCCTATGAGAGGAAACACATCGTTCAGCGACCCCCCCGATTCACGTAGTAACCCATACATGAACAACACACCAAGATGTTGAGAGGTAGTAGAGACGACGACACAATTTACAATACATTTTATCATTCTCAACACTATTCGCGTTTAACTTTCGTCAAACAAAGAAGGAAATATAAAAAAAAAAAAAAAAACACACACACAAAAAAATAATAATAATAAAAGAAAAGACGTTTACTTTGAATCTAATGAATTTGTTATTATTAATTGTCAATATAATAATAATATTACTCACCGTAATTAACGTCCGGTTGTACCGATGGTATTCTTAAATACTCTCGAAAATTTTCTACAGCTGTTGCATCCAGCTGAGACGACTGAGACGACAAGGCCATTGCTTTAGGGAACTTTGCTGATCACCACCGCCGCGTCGGACGCTTCTCTGAATATGCGACTGTCACAGCAGACGCCCGCTGTTTTTCTCCTCCAATTGCGCAGCTTATCAACGATGACGTCAGCTAACTTTGATCAATCAAATTGCAGTATACGAAGCAGGCGGGTTAAACGGTTTCAATTTTAAATGGAACTTCCGTTTGCCTTACGACAATGTTACTTGGATAATTATTTTATTTTTTTCCCCCTTTTTCTTTCGTTATTATCTACAAACAAATGATTAACATTATTATTATTATTTACTTTTTCTCTATATAATTTTGTTAATCTCCATTTTGATTAATTTCAACCGAAATTTAATGAAATCATTCAAATGAAAAATATTATTGATAATATAATGATTGAAATGAAAAATATTATTCAATATATTTATAATATCTCCATTTTGTGGATTAATTTTAATCACAAATTTAATCAAATGTTTTTCAACGAACGAAAAAAATATTTTGCCAATTCAACGACGTGAGATATGCCATATATCTTTCTTATACGTGTGCATACATGTAATATATGATACCCTTTTTTGCACACGTTACTTCAATGATTTTATGTAACTATCAGCTTCGTTCATGATGTTAACTATAATTTATAATATTTAATGTAACGCGTGTAATTTCATTTAACCATCAATTGGTCTTTATTGTCGACTTCTTTAACACATTGATTATTCTAACGTGCATTTAACGTGATTTTTCTCCATTACACCTATATGAATTTTTTATAATGGGATATATATTTTGTTAAAATTATTTTTTCATAAACCAAATCAGGTTATATATTACCTCTGATAAACTGTGTTAATCATTTTTGCAATTATCAATTGTTTTCAAATTTATGGAAATTAGTACTTGATTTGACTAATCAAATGATTACTTATAATTCAAAAACAAAAAAACAAAAATAATAAAATGTTACAGAAACTTGTAAACAAGACTTTTACTGATTACTGTGGTAAATTATATAAACAAATAATTTGAATATTTGAATTGCCGATTTGAAGATAAAGTTTAGTGATAAAAGATAACTGCTGCTGTTTTTTCATTGGATATGAGAGATGATTATTATCATTGAAAGATTGATCATAGAGAGTAATTAATTCGTAAAATGTATTTCGATTTATTAAATTTCATGTATGCCTAAATATGAGCTCTTTACATGTTATGCCATAATAATATGTAATATATATATATATATATATAAATATATATATGTTTGTACATACATTGTACATATAGATATATATATATCTATATATATCATTCATATCAAGTTTGATATCGAAGAACTTGTTACATTTATTAATTTGATAGTATTGATTAAATTATTATACAGTGTGTACGTAGTAATGTAACATGGCTATAACTAGGCACATACAAGTAACAATAAATCGCAAATAAAAAAATTATGTGTTCTGAAATTATCATAAGACTATGTATGTATATATATATATATATATATATATATATATATACATATACATACGTACATACATATATGTATATATGCTAATATGTAATAATAATAATAATAATAATAATAATAATAATTGCTGTGTGTGTGTGTGATAATATCTTTTATATACAACATTTAAACGATTATTCTAACGAACTACTACTTCTATTAGAAAATGTACTTAATAACAAATTTTTATATTTTAATATCGCTGCCTACTATTAATATACTATAATATACTATAAATTTAATTCTTCGCTATTATAACTATACAAATGTGTTAGTAATATATCAGAAAATCAGACAGAATTTGTCAAAGCTATCGCGCATATTATTATTACATCAATCATATTTTTTGTTGAATTTTTGTTTGTTTTTTTTTTCTTTTCTTTTCTTTCTTTCTGAGCTTAAAGAAGGTACAAGATTTTTATTTTTTTTTTTTTTAATTATTATTATTATTTTTTTTTTTTTAAGTGAAACATCGATACTTAAATTTATCTTACAAAAGTATTTACACTTTCTTTTTCTTCTTCTTCTTCTTCTCCTTCTTCTTCTTCATCATCATCATCATCACCATCATCATCATCATCTCTCGTTATATACTCAGGTGGAGAACATAAAAACTGTACACTTATATATATATATGTATATATGTATAGATGTACACGAGCATTTGTATTATATATATATGCAAACCACCTGTAATATTTGTATCTTATTATTACTAATTTTATTACAAAATATTGGCTAAAAATATAAGATAATACCACAAATGCCAAAAATATGTTTGTTTTGACTCTTAAATTGTCAGCCAAACATAAAATGTAAAACGGGGGGGAAATATTTTTTTATTCCATTTCATTTCTTTTCTTTTTCTTTTTCTTTTCTTTTCTTTTTTTTCTGTAGAGACAAAAAAAGATTCTTCATACGCAATTAGGAATAAATTGATAAAGGTACTTTCATAATTAGATAGTACACATGTAAAATGTTCAAACACAATGTTTACTGACTTACTTTGCTAATCACAGATCTTCAAACTTTGATATATATATAGATAGATATATATATATATGCTTAAAATCCGATTGTAAAAAATGTTTACATCAGGAAAGTGTATTTATTTTTCCTATATGCGTATTTCTTCATTTTCTTTTACACAATTGCTTATTATTTCTGACTCGTTAAATTGTTAGATATATATATATATATTTTTCCCAAAATGATATATTAAGATAAAAGATTCACATATGATTATTATTAATAATAATAATAATAATAATAATAATAATAATGAAGACAATTTTTAAGAGTTTTTTTTTTCTATTACATTTGATAAAACGCACATATGTGTGTGTATATATATATATATATGTGTGTGTATATTTGTCCATTAATTAATATATAAATCATATTTATCATAGCAAAACATTTTCAAAGTTTCATTTGACATTTAATTAGAAATGAATTGTTAAGTATTTATATAATAATAAGTTTATTAAAAAATAATAATTAGTTTGCTATTTTATGACAAGCTTATATCAATAATATATATTTGTTAATTACTTTATTGTAAATCATGATTATTATTTTCTTTCGTTGTTGTATTTAAATATAATTTTACTTTGTTTTTTCTTTTTTTTTTTTTCTTGTTTACTTTCTAATGAAAAAAAAAAAGGAGGAATAATATTAAATTAAATTAAATTAAATCAAATCAATATAGTACATTATTATTACTATTATAATATTAGTTTGAATTTATAAGAAAGAAAGAACAAAAAAGTAAGATAAATGTGTGTAATTTAAAAAATAATCATTTGATGTACCATCGTTAAATATAATAACTACTAGTAATACAGTTATAGTGTATATATATATATATATATGTATGTATATATACACATTATTACGATTGAGCCAAATTTATACGAAGCTTTGTACACTTATTTAATTACATTGATGTGTACACTAGAGAATAATACGATATATTAATTAATTATTCGATACATAATTTACATTTCTAATTGAAATAATATTTGATGTAATTTTTCTTCTTCTTTTTAAAGAGCTATTAAATTACATATTGTTATTATTATTATTATTTTATTTGTTCCACTAAGTATCCATTAGTTTCTTATTTTTATTTCTTAAATACACAGAATTGCACGATTATTATACAATTCTATTGATAAACGCATCTCGAACGATTACAAAGAAAAGAAAAATAAAATTAATTTATACATTAAAAAAAAAAAAAAAA